CCATACTACTTCTGAGCAAAACAATAGTTTCCATTTGTGCTTACCACAACCCTTATGATTTATATATTGCTAAGTATAATATGTTTACATGACAGTAAAAGCATTGTATCTGCTTTGACAAAGACACCAACATAATAAATAAATCATATTATAACCTGTGGGAGCTACTTGAAAAATAATCTAAAGAACGGTTACAGCTCATTGCAATTCTATTAAGCGTAGGTTTAGGGGGAGAACAGCTAAAAGCTAGGAATAAAAATATTGGCAATGTATATGTTTCAAATTGCACTCAGTACAGGACAGTGTAAGTATGGATTCCAGAGCCTCCACTTCAGCTGTTTTTACGACACAGCACTCAAAACTGGTTTAGCAGACATCATACATCTTCAGAAAATGACTGGAACAGAAATAGATCTGAGTGCATAATAAATCACATGGGCGCCATTATCTGTATGTATGCAATTATGTAAAGTTGTTTTAGGTTATGTATATGTCATCAACAGATTGCTGAAAGACTCCCCAGAGTTATAATACACTCTGCTAATGAGCATCATATACAAATGAGAGAAGCTCCAAGGATCTATAAGGAATGATCTTATGACCTATAAGAAATTTCTAAGAAGATTTTTTGCTACAGCTGTTCATGCTTTGGGCATTTTGGGCAGATAACTAATTATTCTTCTACATTTATTTTTTGACCACTGAAATAAAATTATATTATAGAAGTTGTAAAGATATCTGATGATACCATTTAGGATCATGGAGAAAATCCACCTGCCCTATCAATTATAATATAATAATGGTCCCCTATAACCATGTCTGGCACATGTGCAAGAGGAACAAAATAGGAATCTATGGAAAATCTTGCAAGACTGTGGAACATTCCATACGTCTTTTTGCGTGTGCCCAATAGGTTGATATAGACATTTATTGAGCATCATACTAGATCAACTGTAGCAAGTAATGGGAAATAGGAAATGACCGTATGTACTGTCATAAGTTCCACTCATTGCCACATTTTGCTAAAATTCAGGTCCTGCATGAGACAATGTAGTCCCTATATTGTGTCATGTATATCTTCTGATCGTATTTTTTTTAAATTCTTTATTTTTGTTATGAGCCATAGCGAACAATACATACTCTTAATTACAGCTAAACAATATTGTAAGACAATATAATACATTGTAGGTTTTTCATAGTCCAAACTAAACAAGACAAAAAACCTGAAAGAGTATACAATATTCTATAATCTTATTCAACGATCTGATGTCCCCTATCGCTCACATGTTTTTAACTGATTAAAGAATCAGAATATAAAACAAAATATGGGTGAAAGGGGAAGGTTAATGGAAGGGGTTACCCTCTGTGATAGAGGACCAAAGAAGCAAGAATGTGCTCTATCCTCAAGACATGATGTATTCTTGCCATTGTGTCCATACTTTTTTCCAAAAGAAGGGATCTTATAACAATGAAGCCATGTGGTCTATTAAGTGGGCTTCTTAAATTTGAACTCTCACTTCACTTCTAGATGGAACTGTAATTCTCAGTCAGGCAGCTGCCAGGGTTCTCCTTGCCACTAACATTATTCTATTTAAGAGCTTCTGGACTCTTTTTGGGAAGGAAGACTTTTAAGGGTGGTGACAAGAAGAACAGCCAAGGGTCCAACGGGAAGGTTCTGTGTAAGTCCCCCATTTCTCTCTAGAAGGAAACCACCACCAGACATGTCCACCACATGTCTAGATATGTACCCTGGTGGCCACACAGTCTCCAGCAGAAGTCTGAGTGTGCTCTGCCCATATAATGGAGGTATCTGTTCTTAGGATATGACACATATAGATATCCCCCTAACAGCTTCCCATATATCCTCACCCTCCAATACCTCCCACGGGTATTGTTCACACTCATCTATGCAGTTTCATGGTCCCCATATGGTGGAACTAGAACAAATAAAGCTATATGTCATGGGGATGGGGCTCTTTTGATAGGTTCCCTGCATGCACAATTTTTCATTTAAAGTTTAAGTGTATAGATAGATTACTAAATGACTAAATCATCTCAAAAAGTGGGGGTGAGGGGTGTTGATGAAATTGGATTTGTCACAGACAATATTATGTCATCCACATATGCGGAAATCTTAAAGTTGTCCATCCACCATAATTCCTAAAATTTGAAGACCCTCCCTCACCAAATGGAGCAGAAGTTCTAATGATAAGGCAAACAGTGAGAGGTGAGAGGGGATACCTCTGTCTAGTTAAATTAAAGGAAAGGGGAGAATCCAGCACCTGGCAGCAGTAGCTGTGCGTGTACATCTGTGTATAAGGCCTCAATTGCTCTGCAGTATGCGTGGATGTAACACCCCGCTGAGGTTGTGTTCAGTCCTTGAACTCAAGTGCAGTAGCACGATCCACAGAAATCCTGAGGTTGAGAACAGGATTCTGTCAGGTTGGTGCTGGCACTTGGCTTTAATAAAGAAACAGAAATTCCAAGGCAAGTTATCCGAAGAAGGGCCAGGCAGAAATCAAGGCCAGATGGTCCAGAGGTAGTACAAAACAACCAAGCACTGACTGAAAGGTGTGCTCTGCTTTTAAAGGCTCAATCACATAACCTCAAGTAGGTCTCACCTGTGGAAGGGGCTTGCTGAGGTCAATATGACTAACTGTGGGAATCAGGCAGCTGATTCTGGTAGTCCCCAAATTTATTTCTTCAGGGCTGATTAGATAGGTCCTTAAGCAGATGTGTTACAGAGTCTAAGCTGTCTTGTAAGCTGTTTGCCTTTTCGGCTATCTCATTGTGAGACAAAACCACCTTCTCTAGGTTTGCTGTTCAGATCTCAAAGGCCTTAATTTCAGTCATAACCTCCGCTGTATGTCTCTCGATTTCCATCCTCATTTGCTGCAATATGAGCATTATATCTCTCTGGTATGACACCGAGTAGTCAGAGGCAGCATCCTCATGGTCTTCCATGAGTCTGTCAGGGCAGAGTCCAGAAGAGCAATTGATTAACTCCTGGATAGACGTGGGATGTTTCTGTTCCACTGAGTCACTGTGCCTCCATTCAGAAGAATAATATTGCAGACCGCATTGGAAGGACTTTGGGTGAAGCTTTCCTGGAATGCTCTTTTTGGAAAGTGGCTGGGGTAGACAAAAAAATCCTATAGGCCATACCTGCTTGCTGCAAGTAAATCATTGGATGCTGTTGTGTGATCCTCCCAATAACAGACTGTTACTCAGAGCGTTAACACAAGCTAGTTTATTATGGGAAAATGCTCAGTTTATAAAGCCATGGAGGCAGAGAGTTTGGCTCATATAAGGTAATAAAGACTTAATGTAACAAAATACTGAATTTTATTATCCTAGTTAATTCCCCTGTGTGCGGTAGACAAATCTACCAAACACCGACCACCCCTTGGCTTATTGAAGCCACAGACCTAAGTGCTCTCCCTGTGTGGCCGCCGTTCGTATAACCGAACAACTCATGCTGGGGGAAATGGCGGCAATCTTGTCACACAAACACAGGCAGCGGGACTTGGTCGTCGAGTGTCTGGAACTATAAGTCAGAGACTAAACCTCGCGAACACCTGTGATTTTACACGAACGCCTGCTTCTTTTCCTGACAAGACAGAAGAGCGCCGTTCGCAAGAACTAGGCAAACATTCGCTACCTATGAGCCAGGGGAAAATGATCAACATTTTATTTGGTTCTGCCACTATTTCTCTGGAACCGACCGCTGCCACTATTTCTCCGGAACTGATTTGGGCAGACACCACGTGTGCAGTCGGTCAAAACTTTACCCTGGTGGCGATTCGGCTGTGTTTGTGGGATCTGAGCGCTATTTGGACAACTTGGGCGCTCAGATCCAGGCTATCCGGGGATCAGGGCCGGACTGGGAGAAAAATTCGGCCCGGGCATTTTTTTAACACAGCGGCCCACTAAAAAGGGGGCGGGGCAGAGGAGGTGTGTTTTGTCATCACCAATGACAAACACGCCTCCTCTCAAAGTGAGCATGTTGGTTCAATGCTCTTCCAGGGCAGACCATGCGCAGAGCTCTGCTGAAGAGCTCTAGCATGAGAAAAAAGTCCTGTATTTGTTCTGCACAGTGCAAGCAAATTTAATAACATGCTTGCACTGTGTTTCCTTGCAACTTGTCTCTGGTGTCTCTATAAATGGATACCAGGAGACAAAAGGCCAGGACAGAGTATTGTGCATGTGTTTGGAGCCTGCTTGTGGTATTGCGTGTGTGTAGAGTGAGCTGGTCGCGGTGTGGTATTGTGTAATAAGGTCGGTTTTAGTCGTGTTGTGTTTGTGGTGTAATGTGATGCATATGTGGTTCAGGGACCCCCTCCCGCCCGGCTCTGGAAAGGGGTTAAAACTTACCTTTTTCCAGCGCCGGGCGGGGAGCTCTCCTCCTCCGATCCGCCCCGTCGGCTGAATGCGCACGCGCGGCAAGAGCTGCGCGCATTCAGCCGGTCGCATAGGAAAGCATTTATAATGCTTTCCTATGGACGCTTGCGTGCTCTCACTGTGATTTTCACAGTGAAAAGCACGCAAGCACCTCTAGCGGCTGTCAATGAGACAGCTGCTAGAGGCTTTGGGGGAAGGCTTAACTTATTGATAAACATAGCAGTTTCTCTGAAACTGCTATGTTTATAAAACAATGGGCTAACCCTAGAAGGACCTGGCACCAAGACTACTTCATTAAGCTGAAGTGGTCTGGGTGGCTAGAGTGGTCCTTTAAGAGTGTAGTGTGTGTGTGTGTGTGTGTGTGTGTATGTATATATATATATATATATAATATATAATATATATATATATTTGGAAGTATTGTGTATGTGTGTGGTGCAGTGTGTTGGGGGGGTTCTGTGTGTATGTGAGGGGTGCAGTATGTGTGTGTGTGAGGGTGCGGTGTGTGTGTGATGTGTGTGAGGGTGCGGTGTGTGTGTGATGTGTGTGAGAGTGCCGTGTGTGAGTGATGGGTGTGAGAGTGCCGTGTGTGAGTGATGGGTGTGAGAGTGCTGTGTGAGATGGGTGTGAGAGAGTGCTCTGTGAGAGTGCTGTGAGAGAGTGCTGTGTGTGTGTGAAAGTGCTGTGTGTGATGGGTGTGAGAGTGCTGTGTGTGTGTGAGTGCTCTGTGAGAGTGCGCTGTGTGTGATGGTGTGAGAGTGCTGGGTGTGAGTGATGGGTCTGAGAGTGCTGTGTGAGAGTGATGTGTGTGATGGGTGTGAGAGTGCTGTGTGAGAGAGTGCTGTGTGAGAGAGTGCTGTGTGTAATGTGTGTGAGAGTGCTGTGTGTGATGGGTGAGAGTGCTGTGTGTGATGGGTGAGAGTGCTGTGTGTGAGAGTGCTGTGTGTGATGGGTGTGAGAGTGCTGTGTGAGAGAGTGCTGTGTGTGATGGGTGTGAGAGTGCTGTGGGAGAGAGTGCTGTGTGTGATGGGTGTGAGAGTGCTGTGGGAGAGAGTGCTGTGTGTGATGGGTGTGAGAGTGCTGTATAAATGTTATTGTGTGTGTGTGTAGGGGGGGTAAATAAATAAAAAAAAAAAAGTCATTATTTCCCTCCCTTCTTACCTTTAGCCTGGGAGGGGGGGTCCGGCACGCTGGGAGGCGGTGTGGCGGTGTTCCCTGGTGGTCCTCGTGGGTGAGTGAACTCTAGCCTGTGAGGCTAGAGTTCACTCTCGCGAGATCCGGTCGTTGCCATGGCAACACGCCGGATCTCGCGAGAGGAACCCGGCGGAGTTGCAAGTTAGAGCTCCGCCGGGTCCTCTCTCCAGCCTAGCTGGCTGTCTCCCTCCATCCCTGCGGGCGGCCGCGTTTGAGAACATGTGGGCCGGTGAGGGAGATCTTTGATCTCCCCATCGGCCCGTCGTGGCAAACAGCGGGGCCGGCGCTAGGAGAGTGACGGCCCTGCATAGACCGGCAGGGGAGATCCTGTGATCTCCCCTGACGGCCTCGGCCCATGGCCACCGCGGCCCACCGGGCATTTGCCCGGTGTGCCCGATGGCCAGTCCGGGCCTGCCGGGGATATAATGCTTGTGGGGGTTCAGATATATATTATGTGTATTTTTACTATTTTATGTTTATATATGTAACTCAAGTGCCCCTTAAGGACCAAACTTCTGGAATAAAAGGGAATCATGACATGTCACACATGTCAATTATCCTTAAGGGGTTAAGCAAAGTACACTAAATTATCTCCCAGACACAGAGACTCCGGGCGTGTTGTGGGAGTGTTCGGTGCATGTTTTACTATGCTTTTGCTTCTGACCCCATGCTGGTGGTCTGTGAATATAATTGTGCCATTTGACTGGAATGAAACATTACAGTTGTACCCTTTATCAAGTCTCGAGTGATATTTAAGTATGCGAACGGCGAACTGATTTATTTTTCCCATGACCTTAGGATTTCAGGAGAGTACGAATCAGCGTACTATGCGAATGGACTATAATCACTTAAGCCTCTAGCCTTTTCGGGAGTATACGAATGAATGGAGTATACGAAATACAAGGTGTTCATTACACTTAATAAGTGACAATGGATACAGGATCAACACTGAAAATAAACATTTGCCATTGTAGCCCAACGAGCACAGAGAACTACATATTTGGCACAGATGACTGCAGACAACAAGGAGGTTTGGCAGTGGTAGTTCTGAGCTGGAAAGGACGATTCCACCTAGGTTTAGGCTCCTGTGTGTCTGCAGCCATTGTTACAATAACAGGATAAACAGAGCACCATAAGGGGACTTTATGTCTGTCTCTGTTTATCTTTGCCATGGGTTTATTTCTAGATTGAAGAGCAATACGATTATCAAGTGATAAAAGTGTAAGTGGAATGCTGTAAGCATAATTTATTTACCCCTATTCTAACTTGGGGTTGTTTTGCACCATGTTAATGAAAAAAGAAAAATACTAACAAATACAAACAGTAGTGGAGTACAGTAAAGTACAATATAAAGTGTGATAAACAGTGAGTAATACCACTCACATTTGGTATAGCCTTAACAGACAAGCTCTGACTTTGAAAGCCTCTATGCATTTTAGGCAGTAGCCAACCTATTGTGTTTGGTGTTTTCTTCAATGAAAGAAAACATAGAGACAATCTAGTGCCGTATGTTTGAGAATATGATAAGTATAAATAGGAACCAAGATTCTTTGCTCACCTTGGCAAGAGCCTAAAGAACCAGGCTCTGAGTATAGGAAATGTAGTGTCAATCAGGGTGACACCTCCCTCTTTAATATGTATCTACCAGGTACACAGAAGTCAAGATATTGTGATATGGATTCCCAGCTGTGCAATAATTTAATAATACAATGTATGAAAACACGGTGAAGAAGGGTGGGGCCTGACTGCCGACCGAGACAGATGCATGATGCTGGTGCTGCTCATGGAAGTCTTAAACTTAAAGCAAACAGGGAACAAGTTGATTGCGCACTCAATGGTTAAAAACCTCACAGCTGATGATGGTAATTAAAACCTATATAATATGAAAGATAAAAATATCATTGTATAGTACGTAAACACAAATCAGAATGGTGAGATAACTTGGAACACTGTGGCTCACTTACATTTTCTGAATCAGCATACTCCAAATACAAACATATGTCAAAATCATCCAAATTGGTCCATTGGTTCAAAAGATAGATCGAAGTCCTTTGTGACCAAATGAAGCATGGTTTTTCTGCCCAAAACCAGTTCCACAGAGTCTTCTATCCTGGAGATAATTGGGAAGTAATCCAATTATCTCCAAGGACAGAGAAAAAACTCCATTAAGCACATGGCAGACAAAGGACAATAAAATACACAAAGTTACCTTTAGTACATAAAATACAGACATTCTACCTATCCCCAGATAGCTTAGATCTGAGCGCACATTATTACCGGATGGCGCACAGATCACATACATACAGTTCAATCGCCATGGAGCCAAAGTCTTTCATACAGTCTTTCAGTATACGGCTGGGCTCCATGGCATAGCTATCTGGCGTAGCATGGCTTTAACAGTCCGCAGAAAGGCACAAACCAGCCTTTCTGCAGGGTAAAAGAACAGGGGCCATAGTCTAAAGGGAGCAGGCGAGCAACCAGGCTTTTCCAGTGCACAGTGGCGAGCTTGGTTCCGCCACAAACCTCATTAAGCTGAAGTTGTTCAGGTGACTATAGTGTCCCTTTAATTGTTAGCCCCGAGTTCCCTGGAATACTGAGAGAGAAATATACCTCCAATTTTATAATGTATGACCGTGCCACTTTAATGTTCCATATTTGAAGTTAACTGTAGAGCACATTGTGGGATATTACTCTGGGTGCAAGATTCTACCCTCTCCCTCCCACCTCCCAATCCCCGGTAGCTGAAGGGGTAAAAACCCCTTCAGGTCACTTACCTGAGACCCTGCCAATGTCCCACGGCAGTGGTTTCTTCTCGCTTCCGCTCCTCCCAGTCTTTAAGTCGGGCGGTGGGCGAGACTGATCCCGCCCACCGGCCGGGGAGACCTAATGCGTATGTGCGGCAATGCCGCGCATGCGCATTAGAGCTCCCCATAGGAAAGCATTGAAAATGCTTTTCAAGTTAACCCGGCAAGGTAATTATTGCAGTTTATAAAAAACTGCAATAATTACACTTGCAAGGTTAAGGGTAGTGGGAGTTGGCACCCAGACCACTCCAATGGGCAGAAGTGGTCTGGGTGCCTGGAGTGTCCCTTTAAAACAACATGGTGTGGGTTAATGCAGCAGGTGTGGAGTTTATAAATATAGTTCCATGTAGTACTATGAATGTAATCAAAGATTTGGTGTTACATTGTGATTTATAGTACACATTATAGATTCGTTTTTGGTTTACTACATGACTGGTTTTAGGAGGGGCTTAAGTCAATATATCATACCTCCCAAGAGTCCTTATTTAGGATGCACCGCTCCTATTTTGTACCCAAGTCTCCCCTTTTCAATACTAGGGACAATGACATTTAGATAAAAAGCATTTAGATCACCTCCAAATGGCATTTAGATAGATAATTTCCTCCCAGCGAAACCAATGGGTGGAGGGTGGACAGTAGTAAGTCCCAGGATTATTAAATAGCCCCCACACGTTGCTCATGGGTGGGTCCTGGGGGAGACAGTGGGATGTCCCAATGTTGATGTTCATATTTATATCTTCTATCTGCAGCCCATGGGTGGAGGCTGGTGGTAACATTTTTGTTCCCCCCCAGGTAATATTTTAGTGCCCCCTGCTCACTGCCCATAGGTTGGTACTGGAGGGGACTCAACATTTTATCCTTTGTTTTATTATATAGCTACCACCAAATGTCTATGGGCTGGGTCAGGGCATGGTCCAATGACTTAACTGTGTTTATAGGGCCTTTCTAGTTACTGGACAGTAATAGCTTTTGGTTACAGTGAGCAGCCATTGGCTGCTCAATGTTTAGTAGATATTCCGCCACCCACAGCATGGAGGGTGAGAATAGTTTTAAGCTTCCCTTTAGTAGTTTTGGGTAATATTGAGCCCATTAGGCTTTTTTAAGAGGCTTGCAAGTTCTGTCCAGCTGCCATATTGTTAACACTCCTACCAAAGATGTTTAACTATTTGTCTGCTGCCAGTGCAAATAGTACTTGCAGTTATCTTTTGCTTGCAAATGGACGAATGGGGGGGAGTTGCACCAACATTTTCCCACCTAGAGCAGGATTAACCTTAAGGTATTTTTATTGCACTAGAACCATAAACCACTTCTATAGGAAGAATGAAGTAGGGAACCACAAACTGGAAACCTCCCTAGGACCTTGTGGGAACTTAATCCTTCCCTTCCACTGAAGGAGGCTGTCAGTCTGGCATCAAGCATGCCAGGTTGAATGACAGCCTGTCTGGCAGGCCTCCTAAATGCAGTGCCCGTTCACACCAGGGAAACCAGGGGACTATATTGGAACCGCAGAACAAGACCGCAAAATCAGGACTGTCCTGCCAAAATCAGGAATATTAGGATGCCTTTTTTATTATTATTATTGCCATTTATATAGCGCCAACAGATTCCGTAGCGCTTTACAATATTATGAGAGGGGGGATTTAACTATAAATAGGACAATTACGAATAAACTTACAGGAACGATAGTTTGAAGAGGACCCTGCTCAATCGAGCTTACAGTCTATAGAAGGTGGGGTTTAAAACACATTAGGACAGGAATACTTTTGCTAGTATAGTAGCAAATCGAAACTGCTATATGTGTGAAATGGTGC